TTTTGTAGAGGCAGGGTTTCACAATGTTTACAAGGTTGGTCTCGAACTCCTGAGCTCAAGTGATCCACCCGTCTCAGTCTCCCAAAGTGCTAGGATTACAGGTGTGAGCCACTGAGCTTGGTCTCTAAAGTGATGTTTGATTATGATATCTGTAATTGTCAACATTTAAGTATTGATAAACTAGAAAAATTCTAAAACTTGAGAATATGTAAGCACACATGACATATGCCATCAGAACAATGATGTCATCACATGTGATTTACCTTCTGGAAAACTTCACTGAACACTTGTTAAAGACTATGAGTGAAAGGCAAATAATGTCTTAGCTTTATTATAAACATGTTTTCCTTTCACAATTCCTCAGAAAGGGTGTCAGAGATGCCCAGGTTTCCCTAGAATACACTTTGAAAACACTGATATAAGAACATTGTTTCCTTTTAAAAATAACTGACATGGAAGTTCTACTAGACAGAAATATTCATTTGGGCAATTTATTTTTCCATCTGAAAGACAGTTTCCAAAATAAGTAGGATTACCATCAACAGTAGTCCATTTAAATTCTTGAATAATATGGACCAAATTTTAACTTCTTTAATACCTACTTGTAATCACTTTTATGAAGACATTCATTAAAACTGAAACTAAGTTCTTGTTTTAAGTGTCAATAAGACATAAGGAAGACATATTTATCAAGGCCTATAGAATCTATTATGAGCAAATATAGAAACTCTCCCCTTTTATCCATACCTCCCAAAATAAATAAAGAAGTTCAATTAATTTCAAGTAGGACAGCTAATTTTCTTTTTTTTATATTTCATGCCTATGAATCAATGAGGACATTTTACAACTCTAAGAAAAGAGTTACACCTGGTTTCTTATGCAGCAATAGAGTTAATTTTAATGGGCCATACTGACATTCAGATTGGAGTAATGACATTAAAGATTTGGGGAAAAACCTGCTCACCTTAGATGCATAAATGCTATTTACAGGCATGCTCACACTACATTCTCACAATGTATCACAAGGAATGAAAAATCTGGATTTTTCTCTCCATTGATCAACAACTCTCTAACCCTCTCCCTTCCCTTACCCCACATAACACAGAAAGATAACCAAGGAAAAATGTCAGGAGGACCTCACTCATACTTGCAAGTTTTACGTTTTATTTTATTATAAAATTGGTTATTCTGCAAAGAAATGCATTTGCATGAAATGAGAAGGCATAAATGCAGTAATCATCTAAGTATAAATATGTCCTTGTGGGCAAACAAATGATAAATTACAATACAGCCATATTCTTTAGGGCTCCTCCCAAAGTGAGCAAATGCATATTTTGAATATAATGCAAATCTAGGAAAGAGAAGGCAAAATAGCCATTTGCAAACTTAAGGACAGATCATCCTTTTTTAATTCCAACTGCTCTAGCCATTCACACCGTGCTAAATTAAGGCTGCACAGCATTTCTTAAAATCACTGTTTGATCCTAAATATGAAAATCGCAATCAGTTTTCCTTGCTGATTTCTGGGCCAAAACTCCCCACTCCTAACAGTAACTGTCACTTCTACTTGGCAGCCCTTTTCAAAGAGAGTTTCAACCAACACTTAAAGTGGTCCAAATCAAATCTGAAAAACAATTCAGTTTTGCATCATTTTATCTGATTAACTTCAATCCTCATGATTTTATAGTCTTTTTTTATCTACTATTTATGATTTCCTTGGCTATATATAGCTCACAAAGGAATCGATGGTAAATCAAGTCCATAAAAAACCTGCCTTTCCTAATGAGTAGAAACAATGCCAGGCACAGTAGCCGCAGCCAGTACTGCCATACTTGCTATCATCCCCTGTGGAAAAGAGTATTTAGATCTGCAAAATGTAAGAAGATCATGATTAAGAATATCATTTTTGAAAGCCTTTCCATTCATATTTTTGAGGAGCACTCTCAGTCTGAAGGATAATCACACTAAGCAACCTAAAATGAGATATCAAAAGCATTTACCCATCAGGCAAATCACATGCTGGCTTATCACTCTTCAGGCCAGGGACTCCTGATGCAGCCTAACATCTCTATCTAAAAGAATTAAATAGTTCAGAGAAAACTTTGTATTAATCATTCCTCCTACCTTTATTTTGTAGAAATAATCTAGTCAACCATATACACAAATGGATCAGGTTACTGAATACTTAGTGATAAAGAAGAGCTATGGAATGGCATTCAAATACTCTGACACATTCACCTTCAGCTAAAGACAGTACAATACACTGACAGGCACAGTTCTAATGACATCAGGACCTGTGGAATGTATGACTGCTAGGAAACACATGCTGCTAGGAAACAAAGAACAGATCTGATCAAATCTTGTAAGGACTGGGAATCACTGTGATTAGATCTTCTAAAATGGGAGGACAAGTATTCTTTAATCCTCAGGAATATTTGCAGGTTTAAAAACTTGAACACGTATCTTCTAGAAATGAAACAAATACATGAAGCTAGATTCTCATGAATTAAATCAAAATTTTCTAAGTTTTCTATTAAGGTAATGGCCATTAGCAATATCTCTCATAAAAATATATAACTTAATCAAAGTCAGGCATCAATGATTTGGCATTTGTCTTTTGCAATCTATGCTTTTTCAAGAGGTCAAGGTCTTCAAAAAATAATGAAGACATCCAGACATAATTGTATCTAAAAACAAAGTACCCTGCTACATTAACAGTACTATACTTTTTAAAACAGAATAGAATTTAAACAAGCATTTGCAACAAACACCAAGACAGTCAGAGCTAACCTAGACCTAAGGAATTTAATACATTTTAATTACTGAAATGAAAAAACAGTTTCACTTGCAAAAGTAACAGTTTATAAACTGTGTTTATATTTGTACATGCTTTACCCTGGCTTTGGTTACAAATAAATAAGTAAGTAAGATTGAGTGAAACAAAGCTGAGAGAGAATTCAACACACGAATATCCATATCCTCTTAACTCCCATACAAATTATCTGGTATCCTATTTTGGTGATGTGTAAAAGAGCAGAGAATTCTATCCTATTTGTAATCCACATACAGAAAAATTGGGCGCCAGAAGTCCAGATCATTTTGGACCATTACATATGGAAAAATATACTAGAGAAATCTTACTTAACTCTGTTTATTCTCATAGGGAAATATAGGAGAGTCTCCAAATGCAAAAATGCTAAAGAAGTGTTTCTTTGCAGATTCTACGATGACATTCTTTAACTAGTGATGATAGCCCATACGACACTAAAATTAGCAGACCGCCTATTTACTTCAGAGCAAAACACAGAAGGCAATTTTTCCTTCCTGCCAGAGTCTATGCGTCTCCTCATTTCCCCAGCAGCTGGCTGGAAGGATGTAAAATCAGAGGTGCAAGAAGCTTTATACTTCCTAATGAGTAATACAGCCAGGAAAGTAAACACAACAGACGATAGCAGGTTCCGCTCTAAAGGAGACTGTGGCAGGAGTGCTTACACCGTTGTTTACAATGTGCTCTAACTACCGCAGGCAGGGATCACAGGCAGACACAGGGAGGAGACACCCTGGAGGTGGCTGGCAAGGCTCGAGTTCGCCCAACTGCTATGATATCTCTGGCCATAAATAAAAGCAGCGCATGTTTCTATCAGAGGAAGGAAAGTGGCCAGAGAATTCCAGGGAGCAGGAGTTACGCTAGCTGGACTCGATTACTTCGATCTGCTGGAGAGATGACTACTCTATGAGGTCCTCATCAGGGCCAAGCTGAGGTGCATCAAGCGCTGCACCAGCGACTCTCACGCATGGCACGCATCTCGCCGAGCTGCGCCTCTCCGGGGGAAGGGGTCCTGACGAGGCTTCCTCGCCACCCTGCGGGAGTCCCCGTGGCCTCCTCATACCAGATTTTCCAGTTAAGCGGATCCCAGGCGATTTCAATAAGCAAGCTCAGCTCCAGTAGCATCAGCTCAGGCATCCCCGCAAATATCTCCCTGCCGAACCTGGGGCGCAAATATGCGCACACACTCACACGCCGACTCCACCGCCAAGTAACCCCGGTAGAGGAGGTCGCCCCCACACCTACCTATCTACACACACACACACACACACACACACACACCTATACTGCTGGGGGCCTGGCACGCTAAGCTTCTGAGCTCCGACGTGGGACCTGAGGCTGGGTCTCCGCAGCTCTGAGGCTCCGCTGCAGCCTGGAGCCTTCCCTTCTCCCGAGAGAAGCACCGAGGTGCCTCTTCTCCTACCTGTAACCCGCCAACCTCGACCATCAATGCTCTGCCCACCCCGCCCCGTCGCCGCGGCCGCCTGGATTCGTGCAACACCGCCGCCCCCCGCCCAGTGCCCACTACCAGCACAACGAAGCCCGGGCCACCCACGAAAGTGGCAGCTTTCTCCAGCCAAAGCCACTTCACAAAGCCTGGGCACGGAGGTCTAGACCAAAGTGCCGTGAAGGGGACACAACAGGCGGGGCGCGGGGAGGCAGCAAGACTCCACGACTCAGGGGCGCGACCTAGGCAAAAGCAGCCACCAGGGAAGGTCTAGGCGGGCGTCGAGAGAGAATCGCGCCGGGCTAGGCACCCTGCGTTTTCGATCTTCCCAGAGCCCAGCTCCTCACCCAGACCCTGTCCGTCCTCCAGCCCGCTCCCGCCTCCAGCGGCACCAGTTCCAGCCCGGCGGAGAAAAGGCGCCCTCTGGTCCGCTTTCTGCCCCCACCAGGGGATGGCACTGGGGTGAGAGGGGAGGGAAAATTTACGGAGTGGAAACTGTTCCCATTCCCCAGCGTGTGCGGCTGCGAAGGCGCCCCGTCTCGTATCCCCATCATTCTCCACCGCTGCCAAATCGCTCAATGGCTGGAGAAAACTCGAACCCGAGCCAGACCCGAGCGCCCACCAGACAGGAGGTTCCCTTCTCACCCCGCATCACGACCCTATGAGTGTGTGTGTGTGTGAGGACGAGTGTGAGTGGAAGGGCGAGTGTGCGTGTGCACCCCGCACCCCCTCTGTGGCCCGCCGGGTGGATGCTGCCGCCTGCGCCCAGCCAGGGCGACCCCTATTATGAAGAGTGCGAAGAATAAATTACCTTTCGTAACCGCCGGTCCCTGAGATCGTCCCATCAGTTGCTCAACAACCTGAGCGCAGTTTCCACAATCCAGCCATTGAGCCCGGGGCAAAAAACCGGCCGGCCCCTGTGCAGACACCCCCAACCACAGGCGGCTAATAACGAGAATCGAAGCGCAGAGAAAGCAGCAGGAGGGTGGAGACCCCAGTCAAGGAAACAACAACAAAAAGTCTCTTCCCTTTCTTCTGCCACACAGCCTCGGAGAAAGGGGAAGGGAAACGAGAGCCAAATGCTCGCCTTTCTTGAGGCTCCTCGCTTCACACACGCCAAGGGAGCAAAAGCAGAGCGAAGAGAAAAGGGGGTTCAAACGTCTCTCCCAGTCCACAGTTGCACAACTTCGGAGTCAGGCTCTGTCTCCAGCAGCAGCCGAGGGACCCAGCGGCAGTTATTAACATGCGGCAGTCACAGTCAGGGCTGCTTCTCCTCCTCTCGCTGCTGCTGCCGCCGCCGCTTAAGAAAAGACGCTGCCGAAGAGACCAAAAATCTTCCACCATCCCCCCAGCCGATCTTTATATCCAGTTCTCCCACCCCACCCCCCTTCTCTTTCTTTTTCTTCTTCCACGTCCTCCCCTTTCCGCCTCGGAGCGGGAGCGATGGAATAGGTAGGGGGAGCCGCGAGGGCCAGGGGTGGCTTCTCAGCCAAAGCGTCCTCTTCCTCGTCCTCCCGAGGTTCTCTCCCAGCCGAGGGTCCCCCCTCGCGCCCGCAGCCTCCGCGGACAGCCGGAGCGACAGCCAAGCAAACTCCTTCCCGGGTGCACGGCGGGGGCGTGCGGGCAGAGCGGACGCCCGGCAGCCGAGGGCTGCGTCCCGGGGGCCGGCGAGCCCCGAGCCCTGGGGGTGGCTGATTAGCTCGCCGGCCGGGCCGGGCGGCCGCGGGCATGTGGGAGCTTCATCGCGCGGCCCCGGGCTCCGCGCCGCCGCCGCCGCCGCTGTCTCTTCGGCTCTTTCTCTTCGACTCCCCAGGAGCGAGCGAGGCACTGGCGCTCTCCAGACACGCACACTCACACACGCGCACACACGAGCGAGCTCCTGCCAAAGCAAACCGTGCAACCCGCGCGCGCGCACTCCCGGAGGAAGAGGACGGAGGCAAAAAGAGAAGAAAGAAAGGGGAGGGGGCGAGTCACAGGCGGCGGCGGCGGCGGCGGCAGCTGCCGGAGCGGAGGCAACGAGCAGTCCGGGAAAAGCCAGCAGTGGCGGCGGCGGCGGCGCCCACCCCGACCAGCTGCAGCATCTGCATCCCCGCTCCTGGGAACTGGAGCGAGCGGTGCCGGGCGGCAGGCTAAGGGGGGCGACGCGCCGAGAGCGGGTCAGAGCGCGGGCGCGCGGGGGCCTTGCAGCCTGCGCGCGGGGCGGACGCAGCCGGGGCCCGAGCCGAGGCCAGAATGAGCCGCGGGCGGGCGGGCGGCGAGAGCTCGGAGGGCCGGGGAGGGGGCTCGCGCCGGGGAAAGGGGCGGCCGGCAAAACCCGGATCTGGAGTGCTCGCGGGCTCCGCGGCGCGGGCTCCACCTAGCAGTTCGGCAAACGCTTGGAGGTGGGAATGAACGGGAGGGCTGCTACTAGAGGCTTCCCTTTCAGGGCTTGTCAGACAAAGGGTACCTCTCCAGCGGCTTCGAGGCTCGCCTCTGCTAGTGCGCTCTCTCCCTCCCTCTCTCTCTCTCTCTCTATCTCTCTCCCCCTCTCCCTCCCTCTCCCTCTCTCCCTCCCCTCCTTTTCCTTCTCCTCCTCTCCCTCCCTCTCTCCCCCTCCCGCACTCCATCACCCCCGTCTCGTCCTCCCTCCGTTCTCCTCCAGTCTTCCTCTCCCACTCCATCCTAGGTGAGTAAACGACATCAGTTTGAAAGTCCTGCCAGTGTCTCATTTTTTTTTTTTTTTTCAGGTGCGAATCATTCCGTGTTTTCATCATGCAAGTACCGACTCTGAAAATGTTTCCTGCCTTTGGTCCATATTATGTTCCTTCAAACTTAACTCAACCTGCAAGTTCATTGCAGTTTAAAGTATCCCTGTCTGATGATGAAGCGTGGAGATTCAATTATCTTATTTCATGACATCAATGGAAATTACCATAATGGATACAGAAAGGTGCCTATTCCAAAGCCATGCCTTCTGAGTGAGGAAAAGTCTGCTAAAGTTAAATGAGTGACCTTGTTAAATTGCTGAATCGTTTGGTGCCTTTTTGTAAAGGAGAGTGTTGAGTAGATGATTTGTCAGGTCTTTTCCTGATGTAGAATTTTGTGATTTCAAATGGCTGTTATTTTCTCTACTAGGACACTCAAGTCACTAATGTATATCATCTTCATCCAACAAGCACATTACATCTATAGTTAAATTTCCCAAATTGTATTTGATTGTATACATTTAGAACTACTTCTAGAAGCTCTTTAAAAGGTAATATCAATCCTAGCATATCTGAAGAACCTGAAACCTCTTTAGAATTAAAACTATAACCAACACAAAACGACAGTTAAAATCTCATTCAATCCTTTAAAGCTCAACCCCAATCCAACATTCTCCAATAAGCCTTTTCTCACCAATGCTCCTTCCCCAAAAGTCACTCCTTTCATGACGTTTCATAACACTTTGATGACATCTGTTGAATAACACCTATTTTATTCTGCTTTTTCCCTTGTTCCTTTTAAATCATCAATGGTTTGTCAGTTTGCCTCTTCAGATTATAGCTTGTCTTAAATGCAAATTCCTAGTTTTAATTGTCTGTATAAGAAAAGATTACTCTATATCCACAGTCCTTTGCATGTAGTTACTCCTTTAAAAAGAAAATCAGGGGTGAGAAGGGACATTTAATGATATTGCTGAATTCTGACCAACTAGATGTTCACAAACTGAAGTTATGCTACTTGAATTTGCCTGATACAGGACATCCATGTACTCCCCTGGGTACTTAGAGAAAATACAAATTAACATCTGGAGTCGCTTGTTACTTAAATAATTTTGGAAAGAGTAGACTCTAGCTAATTGTGACAAGAGGCTCTTATTTATAAAGGAGGATAAATGGAAGTTAATTCATCTCTCAAATGCTTAATGTTTGTGTTAAGTAATAAAAATAATATTTTGAAAATATATATAATGGCAAGTATAGATATTAAAGATTATTAGTGGTAGCATCAGAAATATTAAATACATGTTTAATATACATTTAGATTGATACAAATATATATATTGATAATGTATAGATATTAAAGATTATTAGTGATAGCATCAGAAATATTAAATAAATAGTAGCTACAGATCAGTTTTTAGAATCAGCTTTATCACAACACCAGAGGTCTGGAGGAATACAGGAAAATGAAATTTCAAAGTAAAAGTTATATATATATATATATGTATGTTTATATATACACACATACATATACATGTATGTATATATACATAAATGAAATATTAACTGAAAACTAAGCATAGTCCGTTAAACAAGTAATTGGAAGTGTTCAGCACAGAGGAGTTGACCATGTATAAGCAAACTTACAAAGACAATAATGAGGGAGAAAGAACTCAAAATGGGAAGGGTAAAGTGAATAAGAATACTGATGAGTAAAGAAAAGCAATGAAAGAAAGAGAATAGGCTGTTTATGTAGCTTAATCAAATGTCAAGGCATCATTTTTTACAGCAGCTGCTTACATTTGAATCTCAAACTTCATGCTTCCGAATCATTTTTAATCTCATGGTCATAGTCTTCTATACCTGGTTTAAGACATAAAGCATCCCACTTCATTGCCAGGAAATGCGTGACTCTTGCCAATATTTTTCCAAGGTGAAGCTTCCATAAAAATAAATCCTATGTCCTTTTTGCTACTATATTTAGCACCTATGTTACATGTATTTAACACGTTCTTCTCAATGAGGAGACAGCATACAGTTGATGTGTGAGCACGGATGCTATCATACAGTGTAACTCTGTGCAAACTAAAGTGGTTTTTGAAAAAGATGGCACCGTTGACTTCAGCACCATTAAAATTGAAAAAAAAAAATATTTACCAAAGGGAAAGGGCTCCAAAAATGAAAAAAACAAAAAACAAAAAAAAAAATCAAAGGTGAATATCTAATCAAATGAGGTAACAAGAATTAAAATATGTGACTATTAAAATTTTTAGACCCTTTCAAATCAATAAGAAATATACTAAGATCCCCAACACTATGAAAGTTTAGACAAGACTTTAAAACAATCTTTTCACAGAATAAATAGAAATGGCCAATAAATGTAAGGAAATATGTTCTACCTATAGAAATCTAACACATAAAAATATATCCAATGAGGGGATCTATCATGTTTCATGTTTTGACCATATAATTAGCTGAAATAGCAATAGTGCTCTATTACTAAACTCTAACAAAAGTGTACTGAGACAGACATGCCTCTATGCTAGTAATATACACTGACACAGTTGCTCTAGAAAGAAAGCTGACAATATGAAACAACTGACTTATAGAATATATACGCACTGAAATCCACCGTTTCTATTTATAGATATCTCTTCTACAGAAATAAGCAGGGATATGGAAAAGGATTTTGTATAATGATATACATCTCAGCCATAATTGCTGTAAAAGGGGAGAGGGTGCATAATGTTTACATATTCAAAGTAATCTTTTTTTCATACGCAGTAAAAGCCCTCTTATCTGAATGAAATCAATAGTTTTTCAGTTAGTGGGAAAAAGTTGACTAAAGCAAAAATATTTTTTTAAGTGATGCATACATACTATATTAGTTAGGATTCATTTTGGCTTCAAGCAACAGAAACAAAACATAGCAATGATCTAAACAAGACAAATTTGTTTCTTTTTCAAATGAAAATCTAGAGGTAGGTGGTCTAGTGCAGGTATGGCCCTCAAAAGCATGCCAAACTGAAATAGGCACTTTCTGTCTTCTTGCTCAGCCATCTGTGGCCCACTATTCCTAATTTCAGTTCCGGCAATCACGCCTACCTTGCAAGAGCAAAGATGAAAGGGAAAAAGGAGGAAGAGAAGAGCATTCTTGCATCCAGGGAAAATTTCCTAACGTTGAATACACCATTTTCCCTTTCATTTCATCCTTAGGTGGGAAATGTAAACTACTCTAAGCAGTCATGTGTCCAAGTGAAAATCAAGATTCTTTCACGATTTAGCTCCTTCTCAGCCTTTGACTTACCATTGCATACTACCCTAGGCTAGGCTTGCATGTATAAGTCTTTCAGTAACCAAATGTGTGGATTATGCAGACACGTGACAGAGCGGCTCTCACATGAAATGACCTTCTACTTCAACCAGATGTAAGCTTTCACACGATTTCAAATTACTGAGCTGTTGCCATCAGGGACAATACTCTCTAATACCCAGTCAGATATCCACAGACAGTTACTATCTTAAATGCTACTGGGCCTAAATTCACTGACAAATCAAGGTAATCAGAGTTAAATCACATCTGCAACGCAGACAGCAAAGCATAGCACTCAGACTCCTAGGATGCCATGGCGTGATTAGAATTTTAAGGCATTTGGAATTCAGTAGAAATGATTCAAATATAGATTATATAGGCTATCAGAACATATTTGACTACCCTATGGCATAGCCTAATCTTAAGAAGCACACAGTGACCCTTTCTGTACCTTGGCATAGTTCTCAAAGGACCATTTTAAGTCTGTAAAATCTTACCCAGATTATATTGTGCTGCTAACTTGTTATCTTCTATTCCCTCCTTGCTTCACGTAATTCACCCTTCTTCTTTTTCAATCCAAAAGAGACCTGTGAATTCTATGTTCTTAATGACATGGAAGCTTAGCTGTAGATACAGATATCAATACAGATATAAATCTAAATATTTTTAACAGCTTCTCCTAAGTATTAAACATTTTCCACATATTGACTTCTTTTCTTCCAATGGAAATGTCTCCTTCAAATTCTTTATTATAATTTCTAAAATGTTTGCATACATACATGCCAGTTCTGGAAGACTGAAAGCAACACAGTCTTTTTTTCCTGTAACTTTTCTAGCTACCTTGTCTTAAGATCCCATAGTTAGACTGCCTTTCATAATTCCACATTAGTTTCAACACAGAATGCTTATAGCTACTCACTACAAATGTTAGTGATAGTACCCTGCACTGGTAGAAGTATCCAGCACTCACAGAGTTGTATTAAAAGCATAACAGCACAGTGCCTAGATTCTAGACTCTAGAAATATAAAAGTATTCAAAAGCCCAACACTATTTTCTTAAGATCCTCTCTTATCTTTATAAGGGAAAGCATACAAATACGTTTGTGCTGTATTAACGGAAATATCGTGGTCAACCAGAGATGGTAATAACTGTCATAGCCTAGAAAGGAAGAAAAAAGAATTTTTGATCCTTTATAAAACGCTTCTACTTTTCTGAGCTCTGCTTTTCAGCCTCACTCCTTTAAGACTATAATAGACACAGATAGTAGATGTCTGACTCATAATTACTCCCCCTTCTCTGAGAACAGCTTCTACACATGATTGGGCAGATGTTTCTGTGAAATGGCCTTGTTCATACTATTAAGCCCTGACCCTTGGCCGTGGTTGAAGGGTCCGGATACAGGCAATTAATGCAAGCTTGACTAATCAGAAATTTTGCCAAGAATTTTCAGACTGTACTATACCAAGGGTCTCAATATATTCCTGATGACAAGGGAGGCTAAGGAGCAGTTTACAATGGACTGGATGTTTGTGTCCCCACAAAACCCACATGTGGAAATCCTAACTCCCAACATGATATTGGGAAAAGATGTCTTTCGAAGGTACTTAGGTCATGAAGGTGGAGCCCTCATAAATGAGATGGTGCCTTTATGAAAGGGACTTCAGAGAGCTCTCTTGCTCTCTTTCTGGCATGAATTGACATGAAAAGCTGCCACTCTGCAGTCCAAAAGAGAGTTCTCACTAGAATCTAATCATGCTGATACCCTGATCTATTTCTCCAGAACTGTGAGAAATGATTTTCCATATTTATAAGCCACCTAGGCTACAGTACTTCAT